CCCCCATACACCACACAGCGCTCAGACACCGCACAGCGCTCAGACACCGCACAGTGCTCAGACACCACACCGACCCCAGGCACTGCACAACGCTCAGACACCGCACAGCCCTCCCCTCCCAAAGCCCCGCCAAGAACAGCCAGCACACCACCGCAGTTAGAAAGTCACATTTTATTTCAAATAAACCACGGGCACGCCTCTGGCAACCGCCTCCCCCGGCGGTGTGCGCCGCCCCTGCCCTTCTCCTGTGCCTGCAGAGGTCAGCGAGCGGCTCGGTGTCCCCCCCAGCCCGCAGGGCACACCGCAGCCCTCGCCTGCACCATCCCACAGCCCCAGCCAGACCGTGGCCAGGAAAGGAATTCCCAGAACAAGTGCCTCATTTAAAAATAAAGTTCTATTTTTTTTTCACCTGCTTAAAAAGTCTAAAATTTAAGAGTGCAACACTATAGTACAGAAACCTCCTGCTGCCCCATCCCTGGGTGGGCACAGTGCCCTTGCAGTGCAGGGCAGCAGTCATGCAGTTTGTGGTGTCGGTAGAAAATGTTTTGTTACAGTCTGGGAAGCCTGAGGACTATTAGAGATGAGGCAGCCAATGCACTAACACGAGCTAAGCTGAAATCAAAGAGTACCAGATGCAAGGATGGAGAGGTGTTGGGCTGGTGCGGGAGCTGGTAAACAAGTGCAAAAAAAGAAAAAAGAAACAAAAAGAGGAAGCATTCCACGTCTGTAGCAGTAATGCATCAAAGGGAAACTTGTACCTCAGAATTAACAGCTCCTAAGCCACTTTTTATTCACCTAGACCCATGTAACCTTGCTGACTCAAACAGGGCTGTGTACCTGTTTGGGGGGAAAAAACTGGCCTTGTCTTTTGGCATTGAGCACCCACATTTCCTTCCTGTCACCTGCCTCTCCAGCAGCCTCTGTGCTCTGCAGGTTTTGTCTTGGAGAACACAACTTTCTGTATGACATCAATACAGAAGTCATCCTGCCCGGGCTGCAAAAGCAAAGCAAGTCCTGTTGTTTTCCCAGAGTATAGCAATAGGATGTGTGTGCAACCCAGGACTTTCACCACCTTCAGAAAGGGTGTTTTGTTTTGTTTAAGAACAAATGGAACTGTTGACAAAGCTCTAGTTTCAGGAAATTTGAAAGAATTAGGGGGTGCACTGTGCAATACTTATTGCTGTTCCTCAGCCAAGCAGCTCAGCAGCCTGTTCAGTAAGAGTGGCCACAGCTATACAGTCTAGCTTGTCTACAATAAAGGATTCATAGCAAAGCATTTTGTGGGGGCATGGGAGAGGGAAGGAGAGAGACAAAACCCCATTCTCATCTAGCTCAAAGCTGGGCAATTATGTAACAGAAGTGAAAATTCTTTGGGATTAGGAAACTCCACATACCTGTTCTGCAAAGAGATTAGGTGTTAAAATAAGTTATGTTTAGACAACATGAACACCAGTTTTTATCCTAATCAGTACTTTGCACATTACATTTTTAAAGAGCAGTTTAAACACTGGTTCCACACACTGCAAACTGCTACGTCTCAGCAACTCTTCTCCCCACGCTATCCCTTCCCCTGAGTCCAGCATGCCCAGACTCTGACAATCAGTTGGGAAGGGGAGAGGAAGGAAGAGATTGACTTCTAGAATATATCATGAGGAGGGCACAAAGAGGCTGCTGTTGGGTGCACAGGAGGGAATGAAGCTAGGAGAGGCTGGAGGAAGGACATATCTACCTCTACAGTTCCAGCCTTGAGGGTAGCCAGAACAGGACAGAGCAGGAACACAGAAGCCATGGCTATGGAGATCTCTTGCACAGCAAGCAGAGCTGCTCCCAGGAACCACAGACTCCCTCCCTGCCCCGCTCCCTGGCTCCAGCCATCTCTCCACAACCCTGCCCTACTCTCTTCATGGAGCCCCACTCCATGGACAGCAGCTCCTTGTAGCATGTTCCCCCATTTCCTGAGGATACAGCCCACACCAGGGAAGGGAGGGAGGAAGGAAAAGGCCTCTCAGTTTGAAATTTTCTGCTGTGTACAAGAAGCATGGCCACAGGATTAGCACCTATGACAGCTGCTCCTTTTTTAAACTGATGCATCACTCTTGCTAAAATCCATCTTCCCAATTATACCTGCTGCAAATACCTGGGGTCACATGCCTCAGGTACATGAAAGAGGCTCCAGCAGCAGAGTCAGCTTATTCTGACATGCAGGTATTTAGCACTTTTCCCCCCTCCACTTTAATCTTTATCAAGTGACATTGCATAAGAACAATACAGGGATGCATCAAAGGCAACACTTCCACATACAGCATGGAAGAGAATCCCATGAGTTCCCCACAGAGGTGAAGATTTCCTCAGATCAGACTCCAGCTGCACCTTACTGGCTGTGAACAACAAGCTCCTGGTGCAGGTGACACACGTGCCTGTGAAATCCTAACATGTGGTCTGTTTCCTGTAGCAAACAGGCAAAGATCAGCACTTAAGTAACCTTTTTCATGCTAACCCCTACTAAGATGAACTAGGTTTTCATATTTTTATTTTAGTGTATATTTTACATTAGAAAAAAGAATGTTAATATAAAAGCTCCACATGCTCCTAACAATCAATTTTCTGATAAGTCTCCACCAGTATCAATACTAATATACAAATAAATTAATTTTGCTAGTTAATTTTCTGCCTGGCTTGGTGCAGGCTCTGCACAAGCAGAGCACCTGTATTCAAGTGCCTGTCCACATTGCCAACACGTGCCAGGGAGTGTGTTCTACATCTTTCCTCCTCATAATGTAGCAGTATTTAGTCTCACTTTGATGAATGAGATCAAATTCTCTCAGCCATGCTACCCAGCAGGCACAAATGATCTTTACTAGGCTGCATGGCACTGTTATAACATGGATTCTTTCACTCTGCAAAAGCCCCAAGCCTTGATTAACAACTGTATGCTACTACTCCCTCATCACTCACTTTGGCAATACAACATCCTCCCCACAAAAACAAGTAATGCAAAAATCTACATGGAAGACCTAAAATTCATCAAATGCAGAATCTGACCTGACTCAAGGCATATTCCCCAGTGTTAACCTGGTCTGTCCCCTACAATTCCTCTGTTTGTTTGTGTAGCAGGATTTTGCACAGCTGATATACAAGAAAAGAGGTGTCACACGGATCATGGCCACTGCTGGTACTGTTGGGCCAGACATAGCAGCAGCCACTCTTAACCCCAGCCACTCTCCTCGTGCAATGCCAATGCTACAAATGCCCTGGTTAAAGGAGCATCAGGAAATCTAGCTGAGACATTTTGTCACCTCCTTCAGTGCCTAGGAGGATTTTTGGGTCAGAGGAAGGGAGAGGGAGAGGGGGAAAAGCCCATTAAATTTACAAGCAGATTAAGGAAAAACACTCCACTGCCAATTTATTTTTAAAAAGGGTTGTGTGTTATTCTAAGGTTTGTCTGTATAATTGTACAACCGTTGAAAATTACATAAATTGTAATGATCTAATACTATTAACAGCCATTCAGAGAAAAACTCCCTCCTCTTCTGAAACCATCAAGGGCAGGAGGGAAATGTCCCAGGAAATATGCCAATCTGAGCTCTGGCCTCTAGCCTGGCAGAAACAGAAACAGAAAGATAAGAGAACAAACTGGACTAAGATGTGGTGTTTGCATGTGTCTGACTTGCAAGGGGAGGGGAGGCTTTGTCCTTGGCCATGTTCTCCCAGAGGCAGTGCCTGCTTATCCCAGTGAAGCTGCCATCACTTCACTCGCTGCTCTCACCCCTGCACTGTCACTTCCTCCTGTCTTATGTGTCGTGGAAGTCTTTCAGCAGGGTCCTCCGTCTCTGCTCTGCTATGTGCATCTGATTCTCTAAGTCCTGGTAAAACAGAAAGTACAAATTGTTAGCATAAACTCCCTGGAGGAGGGCTAATTTCCTTAGGGAGACACTGAACTCGAGCCTGAGAAGCACCAACTGTCACTCTGGATCACAAGATTGCAGATCCTTTTTCTTTTGACGTGGGCTCCCTCTGCAGTTACCTGGCTCCTGCTCTGTCTAAACAGCTACACACTGCTCTTCACCAGAGGGCTACATGCATCTTCCTTCAGCACTCTGTTGGTGCTGTTTCAGTTTGCAGGACTCCCTGCAGCCCTCTCTCCTCTCCCATAAGGCACTGAGCACTCTGCTTCTACAACATCTGCTGGCTAAAGGCAGTTTCTGGATCTAGTTTCTCAGAACCCTCACTTGGCTGCCTCAGTGCTCCTGCAGAACTGTTAAGCCCAACAAACAGAACACTCACCCCTCTGTCATAGCTGTCTGCTCGCTCCACCTTCCATGAGAGATTTTCAATTTCCGCCTCCAGCTGGGCCTGCTGGTACTCAAACTGCAAAGAGCAAAATTAGAGACAGCAACAAGAAACTAGTTTAGTGGAGCAGTTTCATACCGCAAACTACACTTGAGGAGCAGACAAATGTGTTCTGCTGACAGCAGTGCTGGCAGAGCAAGTTTGTGTCTCCTCCTTATCCACCTTCAGTCAGCCAGCATCACCCCTTTCAGGAGTTTCTTGTGTAAGCACCCCCCAGCCTGCACCAATCAAAATTAACCCAGTCAGCCTAAAACCACTGCAAGTAACAAACATCTAACTCAGTTCATTTTGCCATAAACAGGTCACAAAATGCTCTCATGAGCACCTCTGCAGGCAGAGTGGAGGGATTGTTAACCACTCCTGGGAGCAGCAACTTGTTCCACTGGCAGAGTCAGGTCCAGAAGAGAACATCCATCCACAGCCTCAGAGAATACATGATGCCATGGGGAGAGATTCTGTAACAGGTTTTACTGGACAACTGAGTTGAAGAAAAACCTCTTCTGTGAATTCACGGTTATTTTTGGACATGTCCAGCCTATGAGATTCACCAAGCCAGTAAAGAACTTACAGCA